CAGGTGGAGACGGCCCCGGCCGGACGCTGGGCTGGTGCGGGCACCCCTTGCAGCCACAGCAGCCGCTTGGGCCCTGCAGCAGCCCCTCGGGCCCTGGTCTTGGCCGTGCCAGGGCCCTGCAGTGCTGCCGGCCCCTCCAGCCCAGCCTGGCCGTGCCAGGGCCCCAGGACCGTGCTGGGCCCCCAGCGCCACGCTGCCAATCCTGCCATCAATCCCGGCCTCTCCGACCCAGGCCATGTTTGTCCTGGGGCACCTGGGGCTGTGCTGGCCCCCTGGGCCACACTGCTGACTCCACCAGCAATCCCAGCCTCCGTGACCCAGCCTTGGCCATGGCATGGTCCCCAGGGCCCTGCCATCAATCCCGGTCTCTCTGATGGCAGTGTGATCCGTGCCAGCCCCTGGGGCAGCTCTGCCAGCCCCACCATCAATCCTGGCCTCCCTGACCCGGCCTCGGCCTCGCGGGGCTCTCGGGATCCAGCCTCCATGCAGCAGGGCACGTCCTGGCCTCCTACGGCCAGCTGGGAAGCACAGAGGAGGGCGATGGCCGAACCCTTCATCCGGCCGTGGCTTCAGTGCAACGTCCTGCAAAGTCCTCTTTGTCACCAGTGCCATAATGGCCAGGCTGGATGTGGCCGAATGTGCCATCTCCTGGCAGCGGTCACACTCTTCTCAGACCTTAGTTTTATGCTCATCTAAATATATATATATTTAGATGTGTGTGTGCTTCTGTGTGTATATATATATATATATTTTTTTTAATTAAAATTGGTTACTCAGTTGTGCTCTCGCAGCCACAGGCAGAAACGGTTCCTCTGCAGTCCTGGTTTCCACAGGTTTCTCTGATGCTATCACCTTCTCCCTTTGCTTACCTGTGTCCTGGGAAATGCCTTGCATAAACGGAGTAGTTTCATCCAGTTTTCATTTCATTTCCTCGTGTTCCTAACAATTTCTGTTTATCTGTGTTGAAATTAGCGCACTCCTTACATGGCCTCTTTAATTTTAGCAGATTTATGATGTAGTGGATGGGCTGAGGTTCTCCGTGAGCGCAGTATATTAATGCTTTGTTACACTGAATCACAGCATTTCAAAGTTCATTAACAGTGTGGTTAACTCATGGACATGCATCTCAGTACAGGAAAGATATTCCCCTTATTTGCCTTAGTTTGCTGCAGGGAAGAAGAAATATGCTGGTTTTGGAAGCCATAGTGAGGGATGTACATGGTCTTGTCAGGGGCGAGCATCAGATTGTCTTAAATGTTCTCTCAGTTTAGGACTGTTGTGGTTATTCCATAAGGGACAATTGTGCTTTATTAAATCAAGTTGAAGAGAGAAGTTTTAACTAACAGTAAAGATGATGCTTTTTTTATTGTTCAAATCTCCTATTTATTATTGGTTTGATAATGTGTCAGAGCATGACAGCGTTAATGCATAGTTTTATATTGCCATTAATATAGTTATAATTAGAAATGCAGCTGATACAGTACTTGTGTTTAATACAGCATTATTAATTATACTGCATCCTCACCAGGAGGCTGCTACAGCCAGTTCTCTTAGAGGCTCAGAGACTCATTGTAATATGTATTAAATGCACATTGCTGCAGCAGAAATAGCTTTATAGAGAAGCATATTCCTCCTATAAACCAGGCAGAATGGCAGTGTAAGTGCTACTAAGCACCCTATCAACATATTTAAAACTATCCTGCAAATGCATTTGAACTCGTGAACAATGAGCAACGTGCTCCGCTGCTGCAGTTCAGCTGGGTCTGTGCAACCCACTAATCCTCACTAACAGGCAGTAAATTATGTACCTCAAAATTTACACAAATGCCTGCCTTTGACATCAGTGGGCACCACCCAGGTTTCACCTTCAGGATTCAGATAATCAGCTCTCATTCCTACTGGCTTCCCTCAAGACCGGTATGGAAATAAGTATGTGTCTGCCAGGGATCAAATGCTTTTGGAGACAAAAGTAGGTACTGAAAACATTACAGGATACTATCATCTCCCCATGATACTTTTACACAAAGCGCTCTGTTCCTCTTTTGGCCTGACATAGTTTCAGCCTGACAGAATCCAGCAGGCCTGCTTGTTTTAAACAAGAGCACATCCTATTATTTTTTTGAGAAATGAAGTGTAAAATTAATGCTTATTATTTTGAGCTCAGGAAAAAAAAAAAAAAGGCAAGAAACCCAAGACTCCTGTTTGCAGCGCGTTGCTCATTTAGTGTTAAAATCAATTGATACCCACATAGATACACTTATGGAGAAATGGGAGAAGATCTAGCACAGCAAGCAGTAAAAATCTGCATTTTATTTTACAAATGAGAGGGGCTGCATAATTCACTTGAGTTATGTAGGTCTCTCGTAGGTGCCTGTCATGTTTAAAAAAATGGAATAAAAATGAGGGAAATGATTATATGTTTTCTCTTAGTAACGCCCAGCGCCACATGGCTGAACGGAGCGGTGGCTGTCGTGCAGCACCGTTAGAAAGCTGCCTTGCATGTACCTATATGATCTTATATAATTCAAGAAAGTTATTCTCCAAAGGTGACTGCGTATCCCTATACATATGCTGTGCTTCCATGTAAAATAATATGCTGTAAAATGCCACGGAGAAGAGAGTGATTATAGCAGCAATTCTATCTATATCTTTGGGCATTTTCATATTTTGAATACACATGCATGAAAAGAGAAACGTTTGTCATGCTAACCATGGTACTTTTTCTCCCCTTTTTTCTTCCTGGATGGTTTTATAGACACAAGAAATACATAATGGACTCCTGTGGGAGTGGAATAAAAACCCCCACCGGTGAGGAGAAGGCCTTATAATTCAGAAGTGGATTTGCAAATCAAAAGGTCTTGCCTCGAGTGGGATAAATTTCCAGATCTGCAGGAACCCATTATGTTTTATTATTTTTCATTCCAGTTTTAGTTTGTTTGTTATGGGTTTAACTATTTAAAATACTGCAGGGATCAGCCAAGAAAATACACAGTCTTTGTTACCTAATTAAACACATGAAGCCTGCAAGAATATTCTTCAATTGAAATGTTGAATATTAGATATATTGTTTTTTTCAAATACTACTCAAATTGTAGGTATTTAGGCTGCAGAAGGAGGGGTTTTCTAATCAGCAGTGCGTGTCTGTGGGTATTTATGAACACACGTGCTCACACAGGACCAGGGGCTGTGTATGAATCACTGCTTTCCAGATACCCGGAATGAGGAGAGAAGAAAATTAATGTCAAACATGATTCCTCTGATTTACTCGTCGGGGGCGTTCCCGGCGTTCCCCTACTAGGCGCTTTGTCCTCTCCAAGTTTATGGCGTCGTGCGCGCGACGCAGGGCACCCGGCTGCCCCTTCCCGCCCTGCGGCGGCCTGTGGATGGGCCGGGGCCTGCAGGGCTCGGGGCCACGGCCGCCTCGAGCAGCCCGACTGGGCTGGGTTTGGAACCGGCTCCTCGGAGAGCGCCACGGGCCCTTCCTCGTGCCTGCCCAAATGGAGAGCAGCAAATCTTGTCACCTCTTGGAAATATCCCAATTCCCGGTTACGGCCGCCCGGGGAATTCACGGAGCTGTTGCTGCGGAATCATTAGCCCTGTCATCTTTCCCTTCCTGACTCTCTTCCCTTTCCTTTTCCCTTTCCTGCAGTCTGGCCTCTCTCCCAACCCTCCCCCCCACCGACGCTGGTGGCACTGCGGTTCCCTCCGGAGGCCCCTCAGCTTTTCCAGCCTTCTCCCTGTTTCTGCTGCCGCCCTGGCTCGAGCACGGAGGGCCCTTTAAGGCATCCGCTCGGAGCCTCCGGGAGGCCGGGAGCTGCCGCGGAGCAGGGCCGAGCCCCTGCCTCCTGCGCGGCCACGAGGCCCCCGAGCACCGGGGTGAGCACAAAACAGCGGTTTCCCTCCCATCAGCCATTTTAAAGGTGTAAAAAGGCTGTTGGAAAGCAACTGTAAATAGGGCCGGGGTGCCTTTGAAGGCTCGGGCTGTTTGCAAAATCCAAATGCATTTAGCAGGAGACTGGTTCACAATGTGACCTACTGTTTTTTAGATGTCTCGGAGCTAAATGTAGAAGTTAGTGAGATTTAGGTTTAAAGATAAAGGTTTAAAAATAAAGCAATATATATGCTAAAAGATAGAATTTCTGTGATTTTTAGGATATATTTTCATGAGAATTTCGTATGTACTGCCATAATGAAAGGAATACAGATTTTCAGGAACCATTTGCAAAAAAACAATCGCAAATGTTTGCTGATTTATATAAAGCAGATATTACAAATTTGCTTTCTAAATTTGACAATAAAATGAATGTTTCGTGTTTATGTGTGGAAATTGTTCGAATAGGGCACCTCAAAACCCATTCCCAACTGCTCTCTGCTCTCCTCCCACACCGTATCCCCCAAAAATACAGGTCAGTAAATAGAGAAACACGCTTTATGAAGTTGTTCGGCTTGAAATAATGGTGGTTGCTGTTTCTGTATGAGCACGGCTAGGATGTTGCATTTAAAATGGACAATATTACCCAATGCAGCCCTTGGAAAGATGTTTCTGTTGCATGGAAATTACGCATTCAAATGACATTTAATGGTCTCTCTTCAGCTTGGAAAAGGCTACAAGATACAAAATCACATCTGACCCTCTCCCTGGATTCCTGCTCTTCTCTGATAGTTTCTTGCTCTGCCCGCACTGGCAGTGCGACGGGAGGCGAGCAGCACTGCAGGCTGCTTGCAGCGCTGCTGCTGGAGCTCACCCAGCTAAATTCATTTTAAATGCTCTTTGAGCACTTAATAATATATGTCCAGAGCAGCGCCGCTTCCTTTGCGGCACAGAGCGAGGCGGAGCAGCGCGATGGCGCTGGTGGCCACTGCGCTCTGCCTGGCGCACGGAGCCGGGGCCCTGGCTGCTCCGTGCGCGCGGTGCCGCGTGCGGCTTCTCGGGCGCTGCGCGCGCGACGCTAATCTGCTGTGTCACTAACAACTTGTATCATTTGAACCTTGCAGAGGAAGGCATCAATCATGAGTGCAAGCTGTGTAACCAGATGTTTGACTCGCCGGCGAAGCTCCTGTGTCACCTGATTGAGCACAGCTTTGAGGGGATGGGAGGCACATTCAAATGCCCTGTTTGTTTCACAGGTAAGGCAGGGCAACCAAGACAAGCCTCAGCGTGCATGGCTTGATCTAGAAACGGCACACAGGGGATTTGTAAAATACTGTATTCCTTTCCCTGGGAAAAGAAATACTGTGCTTGGAAATGTTTAAAATATCACCTGTCTAAACCCAGAGCGAGAGCTGAAGAGCTGCGCTTTGGTTTTTGACACCGTGCAGCACTGTCCCAATGCAATGAGCTCCCTGCTTGCAATTAACAGTCCTTTTAATTGTGGGTGCAGGGTGAAGGTGTGATGTGTTTCATGACACAGCGCTTTGGGAGGGGTGGACCTGCTCTCACAACCCTTATTCACGTGGCTAAGCAACCTGGTTAGCTTTGATGAGAGAAACTGGGGCAACAGGGTAGATTTGACAGCTGCTTCTCAGGGGTTTCTTCAGGGTCTCTTTGCTCATGGAGGCCCATTTCCCACTCCTCCCTAAAAGCGCAGCATCTGAATGTCTGCTGTGTGTTCATCCCCTGTAGTTCATTTTGAGCTGCCTCATAAATGCAAATCATCTTGGCTAAAGGACCTGCAGAATGCCTTTAGAGGTTGCCTTTTACGCACTGTTCAGAATAGGATTTAACATTTAAGTGTTCAATATGAAAAATGAATCCCACATACATGTGTGACTGTGGTCCTCTTGACAGTAAAGGGGTGCTCATCATACGTAATTCCTTCAGCTTCAGTGGGAATGAGGGGAACGCTTTGAGAACATAGTTTCCTTGTGAGCTTGTTAATTTGTCCTTTCCTGAAACATCCTACAAAATGACTCCTTAACCAAATGTGTTTAATTCTACTGAAGAAGTTCTTTTCACGTGCTGATGATCATGCATGTAAATGAGACACAAATAAAGACCAGATAAAGTCTGAACTCAATGTGTTTTACTTCCAAATTCCACTTGAAAAAATCAGTCCAAAGTCATCGTGCAGGTGCTAGGGTATTTGTGCTGTTAAATCACAATCTTTTTATTGTGTTGAATGTACAGCCTTAAGGCCTGGAAGTTGTGACAGTCTGCCCTTTCAGACTGCCAGAAATGCTGTTCTGGGCTGCGCATCTTCCCGAGCAGGCAGCGAGGCCTCCCCTGGCCCCGTTGTCCTGCATTAAAAATGCATCCGGTGCACCTGTGGTGGGCCCAGGGCTCCCTGCAGGAGCAGTGACGTCCTTTCTTGGTTTGATGATTGAGTTCCTCCAGTTACCCGTGGACAGTGTTAGCTTTATGTGAAATATCAAAAATCTATATAGGATTTAGAGTCTGTTAGAACTAAAGCTGACTGTCAGCCTGGAGACTCTAAATTGACTACTTGGAAGAAAATGCTGCAGAACCAAGTAGAGCAGGCACTTCTTCAGTAGATATCATTGGGCTTTTTAGAGCTTTTGCAACTGTAAATGTGTAGTTCAAGAGGGGATGTGTTATGTGAAGCGCAGTCTTAACTAACCATACTGTGTTGTTTCAGTTTTTGTACAGGCAAATAAACTGCAGCAACACATCTTTGCAGTCCATGGGCAGGAAGATAAAATTTATGACTGTTCCCAGTGCCCACAGAAGTTCTTTTTCCAGACAGAGCTTCAGGTACGTTTGCAACACGAGTAAAAGCAATGCTAAAGCTGTTGTTTTTTGTTTTGTTTGTTTTGTTTTGTTTTTTCTCTCTCCATGTGTAATCATCATGCTTGTGCTGCGTTTAGAAAAAGTGCATATGCTCAGTGTGGTTTCTCCTTCTGCTCTGAAACCGCAGAAGCCTCCCCCAGTCTGGCTCAGCCTTCCTGGGCACTGCCAGGGGACGGGGGTCTCTGAGTGTGCCTGGAATAAATAAGGCAGGACAGATATCATGATTCTTTATGACTATTTTTCTTGACAGTAGCGTTGTTACGTCCTGACATGTCTACGTCAAACTCCTTGTAAATAATTTCTTTTTCTCTATTAATAATTTAGGCACTGATTAACATACAAAGACTAAGCAAACAGCAGGATGCCCCCTCTGCTCCTTCGGCGCTATTAAGTCAGAAGTAAAGGAATTTTACCTGCCTAAGTACCATAGCAAACTGCTCATACAGTTGAACATGATGCTTTAATTGGAGGATTCACTAAAGCAAAGCCTGTTTCAAAGCAGCAGGTTCTGCAAACAGGGTTTTTCCTACCCGTTACACAGCCAGCACCGGGGCCTTCAGCCGGGCGAAGCGTTCCCTGCTAGTCCCCATCGGGCTTTGCAACCTCCGTGGCTCCGAGGGCAGAGCAAACTCCTGCAGACCAGTTTTCTTGCCGGAAAACAGCTGCAGAGCTTTAACCTGCAAGTGCCCCAGCGAGGCGCCCGCCCGGCTCTGCACCCCGCGGCTTTACCTGCCACCGGCCCCAGGCAAACACGGGCATCTTATAGACTGCTCCTCATTTGAACCTATTAGCTCTATATTCCATGATTTACTTAAACTTTGGAGGGTTTTTATTTATCTTGCTGAATTCCCAAGCTGCCGCCTCTTGTGTCGTGCTGTCACGCTGTGGAAGGATGGTTGATCTTTTCACTTTGTTGATTCTATTTTTTTCTCTCAGGGGAATCTCTTCTTTCCCTTGTTCTAGCAGCCTGATTTGCATAAGTGTACAAAAGTTTTAACTATACCTTGTTAATATTTTAATCAAGTCAGCAGATTTTGTGTGTTCTCACTATGAACGTTTTATGAAGGCAGTGGTGGCTTGCAAAGCCAGCTTGGATTTTTCCTCCCATTTTTCCTTTAAAGTGGTGTTTGGTCAGAATGCCAGCATGATTAAAGTGGGTGCATTTGGCTTCCTAGGTCACTACATTAACCTTTAAAATCAGATGGTCAAAGACAGACAACACTGTTAAATTGTAGCCTTAACGGTGGCTTTCTCTCTGCAATTAACCATTTTAATTACATACTGTTTCAGTTCTGAAGTGTTGTGTGAAGCAAAATCTCCACAAATAGTGGCTTTAATCAGATAAATTATAACTGTCATTTTCCAGTTTTTACGTAGGATTTATGTGCATTTAGAATTTCTGTGCTTATGATAATTACATAAATAGTTTTGAATGGCTTTGGATGAATGAAAATGTAATAGTAAGTTGCACAGTTTTAGTCATTATTTTGGTGGTGACTCAGAAATGTGTTCGATGTCAGGGATTTTGTTAATTCAAATACCTGAACCAACATATATAAATCAGATGGAAATGCTTGAGCCTTTTGAATCAGTCTGACTTGGCATGATTATCTCATCAATTGCTTATTTGTAACTTGCCTGTTCTGAATTCCTCAGCTGTTTGTTGTTCTTTTGTCAAGTAATGAAGATTTAGTATTATTTTAGTGAATCAGTTGTTCAGCTGCTCTTAACAGTTGAATCTGCATAAACCTTTCAGTCTCTTAACAGCACCATTGTTCTTATGTGGGAAAATCACCATCCATCAAACGGTTCTGCTTGATGAATTTGACTTTTCAGTCCTGATTTTGCTTTCCCACTGCTGTAAAATAACAATTATTCCTTTTTAAGCAAAAATCTAAGCCTATGCTTTGTTTTGCTTCTTTGTATTTTTAAGTGAAGCCACTGAAAATACTTTTTAAAAATTGAGCGTTTAAATATTTCAAGAAGAAATTTAGCATGGTGAGCTTACAAAAAGGCTAGAAAAACAAGGAGAGTGGGCAAAATGCTATGCAAGGGAGGGAAAAGGTAGCTCTTAGAGCTGTCATGGAGTGGCATGAATTAGCGCTGCTAATTTGTGAATATTTCTTTAAACCTTTGCATTAAACACAAAGGACGTCAAGAAGGGCATATATATGCCATGTGACAAAAAAAAAAGGTTGACACTGTAAGTGTATGTTTTAGTGCTGGTGCAAACACTGCTTCAGCAGCAGCAGCAGCATTAACACCCTTGAAACACCCTCATTTCTTCTCTGAAATGGTAGTTGTGTTTTAATGCATGTTTATGCTTTGAAGTTTACCCAATTTGCTGGAGCCACGACGGCTCGGCTTAGGAGAGCTCGGAGGAGCAAAGCTCTCTGCGGAGGTGGCGAATCCCGTGGCGTGGGTCACCGGGGTGCTGCTGCCACAAAAGGAACAGGATGTTACTCAGTTGCCTACATTAAAAATAAGGAAAGCAAACCTGGCAAGGTGAAGTATGAAACATAATGAGAATTCTGTGTGTTATATCCCAAACAGGACGAAAGGAAAATCAGTTCCCCGTTAGAGCAGCAGAAATTGGAGGAAAGGCCAGTAGCACTTCTTAGGTTTTCACACCCTCACTTCATAACATGGTAGTTTGTAAAGATTGACCTCTGTGAATATGATGAAAAACCTCTCCCAAAAAGCAAAATTTATGCATATTTTATAGATTTATAGCTTTGCACAGACTGCAAAAGCTGAAATGGCACACAGGACATCCAGGCTTAGGAAATGAACTGGCTCCTTGGTGACCAACATGTAGGTCTTTGCTACCTGCTACTTGAAACATAATAGGGAGCCCTGCCAACTCAGAAGATGGGTCAGAAATTATGATACCCAGTGGGTGCTGAGATTTAGATGTGTGCAATTATTCAATGGGTGCAATTATTCACAGGTGAAGTACATACCCTTAACTGCTGGCATCAAGAATCATGTTAAGCAAATTGTGACTGAACAGTGGTTTTTAAAGGAAACTGAAGAGGATTTCCATATGTACTCCATTGCCACATTGTTTTTCCAAAGATCCCTCACATAACTGAGGAAGTATTTGTATTTAAAGGATTAATTCCTGCTGTTTGCTTGTGTACCGTTAATCATACTGTTTCCTCCAAAATGATTACAATTGATGAAAACTAAGGCAAGGGATATAATAAACAATGCACAAATAATCCAAGTGCCGAGGGAGCAGGGTACCTGCCAGGTCTTTCCTAGCACAGGTGTTCAGGTGTTTTATTGCCTGCTATGAATAAAAAGCTTTCTTTTCTATGCTGATTTCAAGATATGTCAAATCACTAAATTCAGGGAGCTTCACTGGAGAAATTTACTGTAATTTTAAGTGCCCGGTTTCTTTAAATGGACATGTATCAAAAGGATAGTGGCTACTTTGGTTCTTTGTCTGACACTAAGGTTTGTCTCCCTTTTATTTTATGTGAAAATCTGGCAGTTTTCTTGTATCCATAAACAGGCATGAACTGCTGCACAGAAATTGTACTCATTATATTAATAATGATTTACCCTGAGTGTCCTCCAGGGGCTGGATCTGGTCCACATCAAAGTCCTTGGGATTCTTTCTGCTGATTACAGCAGATTGAGCCCAAAGCAGCTTGTCTTTTATTTGTAAGGAGTCGGCAGTAAATGTCACCTCAATGTTGGGCCTCTTTTCTCTCAGGGGCTGTCCAGGTGAGCAGGTCATCTCAGTTTGGCCATGGGGGCTGCCAGCCAGGGCAGAGTCCCTGTGCAGTGTCCATAGGCACAGCAGCAGAAACCTGCAGCAGAGCCACAAATGTGATTGAGGGACTGGAGCATCTGTTGTATGAGGAGAGACTAAGCGAGCCGGAGAAGAGAAAACTGAGAGGGGATCTGATCAGCACGTACAAATACCTGAGGGGAGAATGCAGGGAGGAAGGGGCCAAACTCTTCTTGGCGGTGGCCAGTGACAGGACAAGGGGCAATGGGTGTAAGTTGAAACACAGACAAGTTCCATCTCCATGTGAGGAAGAGCTTCTGTACAGTGAGGGTGACAGAGCCCTGGAACAGGCTGCCCAGGGAGGCTGTGGAGTCTCCTGCTCTGGAGATCTTCCAAACCCACCTGGATGCCGCCCTGTGCCCCGTGCTCTGGCTGTCCCTGCTGGAGCAGAAGGGTTGGACTAGGTAATCTCTAAAGGTCCTTTCCAACCTCAACTGTTCTGTGATTCTGTGAAACAAATATCTATGGTATTTTGTATACCATAAGGATGGTATATAACCAACCTTGTATAAGGATGCCACAACACAAGGCAGTGGGTAGGTGGCAGGGCAAACGGGATCTTAAATGTGACTTGAATGCGACTTAAGTGATCTTTAATCAGAGCAGTACTTTATTTTTTGCTGTATTTTAGAATTTATGCATGGCTTGAATGTTAATCAGTAGGAGCCTCTTGCTGGAAACAAACCACAAGCTCTAAATTTCATATGAAGTATCAACAAAATAATGCACAGGATTAATTGTTTCTGCTAATAAACTAAAAAGTTATGTTTTCTTTTAAACAAAATCTGTACCTTTGTCTTTTGGCTGTTGAAAGGTTCTTCAGAGTCTGTTGTCTACCTCTTGAATTTTTTTTTCTTTTTGAATGTCACTCAGTCCTCCGTTAAAATCCTGAAAATGACATAGGCAGTTTTGCTAGCAGATTTGGCTAACATTTCTTTTAAAATGTTGCTGTGGTGCTTGGAGCATTGTTAAATTTTAATTATTAGTAGTTATAAAGCTAATAAATTACAAGAAATCCAAAATCTATTCCAGCCATATTGCTGGGTTTCATTCAGACACAGCCAGATAATTATAACTAACAATAATTAAAAACTGAAAGTGCTGTAGGCACCTACCCATCATATTGAGTCTGCCTGCCTTGAAAGTCCTTTATGGACTGCGA